TTTTAAAATCATTCATTTGAAATAAATAGTGGTGGTGCACTGGTGCATATCAATCAAATAAGTCCCCCAGGCTTTCGTCAGTGTCCTTCCCCTAAGTTATAAATTCTAAGTTTTCCCATTAAGATGTGGCCCATCTCCATTCCACCAAAGCAGCCATTATATTTTTCCATGTAAGGCCTACACATATTGGGCCTTATTTATCCATCCTTGGTCCCAAAGTTGAGCACGTAAGGTCGAGTATAGGGCACCCTCGTACTGCATCGGGTGAAATATCATTTAGTGCCACGTCGGCCACAAAAATACTGCAACAACCTAAAAATAAATTATAAAAATGTCATAGCACTCAAATTCATCTAGTAAATAATAAATCTAAAATGTATATAAAAATACGCTAATAAACATATAAAATACATATTTTTTTCGACCAATCGTTGAAGTTATTAACAATTTAACAATTTACCATATTTAAAAACTGGTACCCAAAGACCTCCGACCAACTGAAAACTGCTGGAAATGGTTAGATCTCAAGCTCGATCGTCGGTTGAACGTCTTTGAAGAGTGCGATGCCAATAATCGATATTATATATCTTCTCTCTTGCAGCATTGACTTTTACCCATTCACCACCAACTTCTCATGTCCAAATATAATATAATGTCTTTGTTTAATACATGTTTTCAGTCAAAAATTCCACTCATCCTTACGTCCAAACTACTCTGTGAGAATATTTCCACCAACTAACGTATCATTTTTTCTTTAATAACCATCCATTAACTTTGATTTCTTCTTCAATTCCAACTAATCTTCCCACTTTTTTTTTTTTATATTTATTTTCAAGAATTGAATGAGAACCAATAAACCCTTTAAATCAGTGTCAAAATTGTCAAATATTTTGCCCCCTTTGAACATAAAAGATAAGAGTCCACAAAAAATGAGTCACAAGAGACAAATGGACACAAAATCACCCATAATCCTCACACTATTGTTCATAGTCCCAGCTTTATCGGCTAACCCACCAAGGCCCGATTACTGCGACCCGTCAAACGGGCCCGAAGTCCGCTTCCCTTTCCGGCTGGCGGATCGGGCCCCGGGCCGACGGGGGTACCCGGGCTTCGACCTGTACTGCAACAGCGACAACCAAACAATCCTCAGACTCCCGGAGTCCGGCGAGTTCTTGGTGGACCACATCGACTACTCGGCCCAGGCTGTTTTCATCAACGACCCGGATTCGTGCCTCCCGGCCCGAATCCTCAATTTCAGCCTCTCGGGCTCGCGATTCAGGGGCGTCTACACCAGGAATTACACCTTCCTCAACTGCTCGACTGACTACGTGGACTACACGGAGGCCCGATTCATGCCCCTGATGTGCCTCAGCGGGAGGAATTACACGGTCGTGGCGGCGAGTTCGCGGACGACGGCGGAGGTGCCGCCGACGTGCCGGAGGATCGCGTCGGTGCTGGTGCCGATGCGGTGGACGGTGTCGAATTTCTACTGGTCGTCGATGGATCTGATGGAGGATCTGGAGCTAGTGTGGAGCGACCCCGAATGCTGGGGGTGCGAGAATGAGGGCGGGATTTGCGGGCTCAATGGGGATTCGGGCCTCGACATTGGATGCTTCAGGCCCGCAAAATCACGAGGTCATTTTATTTTATTTTATTTTATTTTTTCATATTGATATTTGTTTACTTTTTAAAAGTTCTAGTTTAATTAGTCAACTAACGTATAGTTTAATTTGGGCCTCGACTTTTGTTCTAATATTTTTTAACTAACCTGTGTATTACACGGGTGCTTGCTAATTTTATTTTCTTAAAATTTAAAATTTAGTGTAGTTGAAAATTTAAATACTCTTTTATAAAAAAATATATATTATATATATTTTAGTATGACAGTTGTTATTTGTGTGACTTAACTGTGTTATATTATATTATTTTTTCTAACTTATAACATATAAAACATAAATATATTAATTGAAAAATAATTTTATTTTATTATAATGAATATAAATACAATTTATTATTATATTCATTATATATACAATATGGATGTCATCGAAACTCATTTGATATATTATATACGTGAAATCGATAAGAATGCAAAAGTTATCAACTTTTAAAATATATTTACAATTCAATAGTTATAATAAGAAATAATATTAAAATACAATTAATACATCTCAAATGATTATAAATAAATCAATGTATTTATGATAATTTGAACCTAATTATTTTTGGATTTGAATTAAATTAAAATCTATCTAACCCAAATAACAAAGCATAGAATATTGACACATAGAATCCCAAAGCATTCGAGTCTGCCACTTAAACTCAGCACATTCGGGATTTTTTATATATAGGGAGGATTGCATATGAGTTTGTCATATAAATATAAATATAATAGTAACAAATAATTTTTAGTTAATTATAAAAAGAATATATACTTGGTTGGGATCTTGAGGAAGGACAATGGTTTTGCAATTGCTTCACAAAAAATTTATTGTCATCAATCAAAGTCCCAATCAAAAAAAATTGAATGTCACTTATGAGTGAAATGAACTACTTGGAGGAGGTTCATTTTGATTTGGGAACCTATTGTGATGTTAAGTGGACCAGCCAGGTGGCCCAATAAATTTATAATAGAACCAAATGGTCAAGTATATAGCTTAATTATATTATAACTGATTATTCGGCGAATATTCAGGGCTTGATTGTTTATGAAATAATTTGTTCAAAATGAGTTATTTTAGTTAACCATAATTAATTTGAAAAAGGTGGTATGGTTAGTTGTTAGTGGAATTTTAAGAATGTATTAAAATAATATTTAAAATAAAATGATTAAAATTGATTTGATGTAAAAGTAAGAGATAAATGATTGGAAATGATTGGAAATGATAGGTAGTTAAAATTATGTGAGTAGATGAATAGTGAATTAAAGTTGATGTGATGTGTAAGAATGATTGGTTTGTATTATTTAATTATATGAATAATATTAAAGATAGTGGGATTGAGTTAAAGTTGAGTTAAATTTTGAGTTGAAATAAAAGTGAGTAAATTAACTCATAAACAATCAAACCCTCAATTTTTGAGGCTCTTATAATTAAAGAGTTGCAGCACGGCGTGTTGAATATGAAGTCTAAACAGAGGTTATTCTTTCTGCAGGCACTATTACTTTAATAATCCAATGCCTTGAATAATGGCAATTAAATATTCCTTCTTTTTTTTTTTTTCTCCTCAAATGAAAATGACTACAATTGACTTCTCAAACTTGATTAATTACTACTAAATAGACCAGAAGATTGCAAGATATTTTGCAGTAGCAATTATTTAAATTTTCTTCTTTTACCTAATACCGTGTTATTTTCATATAGGGCTTCCTAGAGGTGCCAGATATGGACTGATAATAGGAGTTGGAATACCCGGTCTAGTGTGCATAATTGGGCTAGCATGTTACGCTTGCGGCATGCTCCGGAACGTTGCACACCGCCGCCAATTAAATTCCGATCTGCCCGTCACATTTTCCGATCAACGGCCCTCGATTAGGTCGGCTAGCGGTCTAGACCAGCCCACCATCGAGTCGTACCCCACCAAGGTCTTAGGGGAGAGCCTCCGGCTACCAAAACCGAGCGATGGCACGTGCCCGATTTGCCTGTCTGATTATCAAGCAAAGGAGACACTGAGAAGTATACCCGAGTGCAATCACTACTTTCATGCAGATTGCATAGACGAGTGGCTCAAGCTCAACGGGACTTGCCCCTTGTGTAGGAACTCGCCCGATAGCACCACTCCTTGCTCGTCTTCATTGTCGATATCTTCTTCTCCTTCTCCCTCTACGACCCCGTCTTCCAATTTGGATCATGATTAGCTCATGATCTTTCTAATTTTGGCGTTTGGAACAATTTTGTGTATATAATATGGGTATTTATAAACTTCTTAATGTGGTTGTAGACTTTTATAAAGCCTTAAAATTATAATTTTACTTGAAGCTTAAATTAGTACACGAACTAGGAAACTGTGTGTTTCTTGATGATTAAGTCTCCGACTAACTTGGCGTAGTAGCTCGACTCGTTGAAAGTGCCTATTTCAAAGGGGAAGATCACCCCAACACATACCATTAGGATCACTACTATACTGAATGTGTCTATTTCAGTTGGTGAAATCACCCCCAGTACATATTACATACTGTTAGGATCACATGTTGGAAGTTTGATCGATTCCTTGCAGTGGAGGGAAAAAAAAAAAAAAGAAGACATGAAAACAATTGTCTCATAACCTAAGTGTCAAAGTATACATTATTCACACTTAAATAAAGAGAAAATGTCAATGAAAGAAAGTTTACTAGGTCAAAGAAAAAAAAAGGATGATTACCTCAGGAGCAAGAGCTTGACAATGCCCATACTTGTTCGAACAAGGAGGGAAAAAAATTTGACCCTCTCCTTTCTTCTCACATTTCTCCGAACCAGAGTAGTTTCATCAAGGATCACGTTATTAGTAATAACATTCTTTTAGCCTCGAAGATGATTCACGACATCTCTCATGCAAATTGGTTGCGAGTCACGAACCTTACGCTGAAGCTAGACATGGCTAATGCATGTGATAGGGTCGAGTGGCCTTTTCTTAAGGAGGTACTAGTTCGAATGGGTTTCTCGAACATGTGGGTCAGTTTTGTGGAGTTGTATGTGAAGCACTGCACGTTCTCGATTATGGTTTATGACAGCCCCATTGATTTTCTCTCTTCTTCTTAGGAGCATGGGGAAAGCTCCTAGAGGGGGAGACAGGTCCACAGGGTGAAATGGATTCCGTTTGTCGGCCTTTTTCTGAGGTGGCCGCCTTGGGATCTGCCACTAATCAGTTGTAGTCACTGCCTTCTCTTATAGGATGTGGTGGCACTTCAGAGAGGAAAGTCATTTTGGGCTCAGTACCTTCGCGGAAAGTACTGTTCTAGAGGTGTTTATCATCCAGTAGGGTGATGGCTATTGCTCATGATAGTAGACAGTGGAGGTGGCTCACCAGGGTAGGGAGGCCTGCCCATGAGCACATCTGTTGGACGTTGAGTGAGGGGGATGTTAGCTTTTGGGAAGAGTGGTGATTTGGTGAGGGGTCTTTTTCGAGTACTAGGCAGGTCACTCAGTACTCCTCTTCCCTGCGGGTGAAGGACATGTGGACTGATCTAGTGTAGGATAAAGATAGGTTAAAGAGGGTATTGGGTATTGGTGCGGGTTTTAGTGACCAAGTTTTAGATCAGATCTAGCAGATTTCCATCTCGGAGGACGGTTCGGACGATATGAGGTGGAGACTTACATCTTCAGGTGCATTTTATACGACCTCGGCTTAGGGGGAAGTACGGCTGGGTGACCGACCTAACCTTCCCTTCGAGGCCATTTGGATCGACCTGCTTACCTCGACCATCTATGTCTTTCTTTGGCGCCTTATTTTGCGTCGAATTTCGATCAGCGCTGTGATGCAGGAAATGGGGTTTTCCTTCCCTTCGCGGTGTTACTGTTGTGGCGAGACCGTCGACTTCTAGACTGAGACTTTTTCCTATTTGTTTTTACAGGGCGAGGTTGCGAGGAGACTGTGGGAACATTTCACCACATATACTCGTATACCCCTACCCAGTACAGACAATTGTTTTGTGCTCCTGATTTTTTCCTCACATCGCACACACTTTAGACACGTGGGTTTCCTCATCATTTTTTGATCATGTGGTTCATTTGTACATAAAAGAATAGTGCTAAGCATAGGGATATTACTTTTATGTGCTCTCACATTGTTTTGCAGGTTGATCGACAACTCTCTTCTCACAGCTCTAGGCAGATTCACAGTTAGAGACTGGACGGGTTGCACACTGCCCCACCGCTTCGTACCATCTCTGTTTTTGCCTGTCCAGCACCCACGCCCCAGAGTCATTGTTTGGCTGAGACCCGACTCGCCTTGGGTTAAGCTAAACTGAAAATCAATTTTGTTTTAGTGATGGGGCTGAAGGCATGTCGTTGAAGCACATCATCCCGACACATATTATAATGCCCCTTCAAAAAGAAAAAAAAAAAGATTAGGTGATGAGCATTGACGATACGATGTCGCCTCTCTTGTTGAGGAAATACAAGGTCAAGCTCGCCATGGAAAGGGTTGAGTGCAACAATTGGGCGCCTGAGGGTGCGGAGATGGCGTCACCCTTGCGGTGGAATTAAGAATGATGTACCTCAAGATCTTTGCCTGACCTGTTTAGAAGAATTTTGAAGAAGATGAATTATACATGATGGAGTTGTGAAAAGGGTCTACCTTGGAAAACGACAACGTTTTGGATTGAGCCCCAAAAACAAACCAAACAAACTAATAAAATATATTATATCAAATGCATAACCTAGGCAAAGAAAGTTGGATATTACCAAGCTCAATAACAAAATTAACGAGACGGGACATTACATGACATTGTTGAGTATTGTGTAAATTATTAATTAGTAAACGTATGGTAAATGGTCCAAAAAAAAAGAAAATTAGACTAATTAAATATATTTTAAGATTTCGATTTACTATCGAAGTAGGATATTTAAGTAATTCCATACCATTCGAAGAAAAAGGCCTCGAGACTGTTTAGATAGTCGACTTGAACTATTCAAGCTCGACTTGTGTTCGGTTAAACTCTGGAACCCTATATGCCAACCCACAAAATTCTACTCTACTTACCGTAAAAATACAAAATCACGAGTATAGTAAATCGCGAGTTTAAACAAAGCAAGAATA